CAGACAGCGAAACATGAGAGGGTTGGCCCATAAATGCAGTACGATGTGGAGTGTGGGAGGACCGGGGCGAAGGTTTACAGAGCCATCGAGAACGTCGGAAACCAGTCGCCGTTTCTACATTTAACTTTTAAGTGAGCTTCGTATTTACGCAGACATGACGGTCTAAATTTGTGGATTTTAGAACTCAGGATCTGTCTAGGGCAGGGGTCGGCAACCTACGGCTCTTGAGCCAGGTATGGCTCTTTAGATGATTGCATCTGGCTCTCTCAGATAAAATTAGAATTGGAAACTTCCGATTTCATGATTTTGGTTCCTCTAATGACGTGCCACCAAGCCTATTATACTCACATTTAATTGAATTCAATCTTAAAATATATTATATGGCTCTCACTGAAACATATTTCCAAACATTTGTTTTATTGGCTCTCGGAGGCAAAAAGGTTTCCGACCTCTGGTCTAGAGGTAACTTACAGTGCCGGCTGAAATTCGCGCAAGATTCTGAAATTTGTTAAAGATAGTTAATTATTCGCAAACCGGTGCTAACGCATGTACGAAAGCTTTGAAGTAATAATGAACAAACGTAGAAGGGTCAAATTTTCTAAGAAATACTCAAAGTCCCCAGACGTTAAAAAAATTGATACAAATGAACCCAATAAATGTCAACATACTCCTCAGGTGAAATAAAAACCATACCATTTCCTTTATATCAAATCAACTTTTCTTTCATCAGATTTCTGTATACATATTTCAGGTATTGGATTACAATTAGTTTCAGATCTTCCTTTAAATTCAGCCAAATTTTCGACGATTTTCAGTGTTTTCAAGCTTTGTTCTGTAAATTTGGACTCTGTTTGGTGTTTATAGCAAAGCCTTTAAAATAATATATTTCTTAAAAGTATTTATAAAATTGTAAATTTTTGAATATTTTTTTCTTATGAAGATAGCCATGTGGGCCATATCTATGAGCCATGCAAAGCTGCAAAACTCGTTGTGCGCATAAAGAACGTCCACAACAGAAATCTGATGATGTTATACCTGAGGTTCATAAAAAAACTTGATATAATAGGTTACCTCTTGAAAAGTCATTTAAAGTAGATATGCAGGTGACGAATATGTGTGCAAGGTAAGGTCAAAGTGAAAATGGCAAATTTTGATCACTTTTTTTTCTAAATTCAACCGAAAATAAATAATACAATTTTGGCTGGAAATGAATGAACGCACCTTTTTCTTTATAGTGGTGTATTGTTTTCACCATACTTGATTTCTTTGGAGCCCCGTTTTAAGACTGCAAATGGAAAGGGACTGGCCGAATACATATATTCTAAGATGTTGCGACGATTGTTAATCTTCTCTCTGTTCCGTTTTTAAATTACGCATAGGCGGACATTATGTTTTACAAAAAAGTATCTTGTCATAGGTTTAACAATACTGTTCTTAACCTTCACTTACGCGATCGAATACATGTGCATTTTTGGTTACCATGCCAAATCTTCGACGCGGTAAAACAGAATACAACCAAAACCTTTTCTTCTGCGTTTTATGACAAAAAACGTCAAGCATTGGCAAAGAATAATTTTTTAAACTGAATATTTTTCCCTGTTTCTGAAAAGCAATGCGGCTCCCTAAACTTGGTTTCATCTGATTTTTACAAAGTCAAGACCTGATTTTTCGCTTCTGGAAGAGGTGCATTTTAAACGCTTTCTTGCTTATAGTAGGGTTCTCTCATTGCACAACGCATAACAATGTTTTTGCTTCTGTAATACTAAATAACATAGGAAATTTATTCGATATCAGGCGCCCTCTGGTTTCGCCGGAATTCTGCCTGTCACCCTTAAATAAACTGAATTAAACAGGCAGTTTTCCTTAACAAAAGGCTTTCTCCGGATTAAATCCACTCATTAGATCAAAACAAGGGAACCAAGTGTATGCTAGACTACCCAGTCCAATTTCGATCGTGACTTCGCCTAAGTTAGTTCACGTACTGTACCTTCTAAGGAATATTCCACCTTTAGTGACCTGTTTTTCGGTTGATTTCCAGACTGTTGCAACGTTGATGACTTCCTGTTGGAGGCGCAGACAATGAAACGGCTGCACCATCCGCACCTGATCCAACTCTACGCCGTCTGTACGCAGTCGGCGCCCTTTTACCTCGTCACAGAGCTGATGTCCAAGGGCTCCCTGCTCAGTTTCCTCCAGTCCTCCGAGGGCCGCAGCCTCTCCATGAGTGCTCTCATTATGATCGCGGTGCAGATTGCCTCCGGCATGGCCTACCTCGAATCCCAGCACTACATTCACCGCGACCTAGCCGCGCGCAA